GTGGAACAAAAAAACATTACTGATTTTCTTCCCAGTCAGGCAACCGATTACCTGAATAGGGCCAACTTATATTTGCAGGACGTTTCATATTAAGTATAATAGATTCCAAGATGTGTAAATGAAGTCTGGTCCGTGCCCCGTGAAAGACAGAAAAGAACTCAAGAGAATAATTCGTTCTGCAAGCAACAGCATTTAAAAGGTGCTCACCGATCGCAGAATCGTGAGTCTGCCAACGTCTAAATGTCACAGGCTCGTATCTCCGCACTTGGCCCGGGACACGTTAGGCGATCCTAACCCTAACCTCTGGATGGTCTTGCCCACATAGGCGATCTCACATCGACATATATTGAAATATTACTAAACTTTGTTGATTGATAGGCAAGACATCCTTACTGCAACCCCTTCTAGTTGTAAAAATACTCCGGACCTTAACAGCATTGAAACACCGTTTAATAGAATTAAAAATTTTGTCAGCGTATGTTTGACTCCTGGGGCCGATCCACGGGAGTCTCGCATATACGGGACAATTAGGAGGACTATATTTCTTAACCCCAGTGATATCTTTCCTCAATGGTAGGTGATACAAAATATTCGGAATAAACATTCATTAATAAAAACTGTTTAATTTTCTTTAACTCAGCGTCTGGTGTGCACTCGGAACACAATATCAAAGTACGATGAGTAAGGGTACTAATAAGATTAATTTTCCTGGATCTGGGAGTAAATGAGCCACAAGTTAAGTAAAGCCCAGAAAAGGTGAGTTTAAGGTAAACACTGGTAAGAATCCCCAAAGGTGTTCTTTTTGATAAATACAAGCAAGAAAGGGAGCTTATTATTCTCTTCTGATTTTGGAAAAGGCCACTTCCGTGAAGCCATTTATTTAGTGAAGATCATATTAAATTATGTGTTAACAGGAGTTTTTCCAACCAAGTAACTTCATTAAAGATATCAAGTGAGGCCAAATAATCATTTTTTCCTTTCCAGTCTTCAAATGCGACAGGACTTTCTTTCCAACGTAATAATTTCACTAAAGATATCAATTAAGACCAAAGAAGCATTTGTTCCTTTCCAATCTACAAATGCGACAGGACTTTCTTTCCAACGTAATAATTTCACTAAAGATATCAATTAAGACCAAAGAGGCTTCTGTTTTTATCCAATCTTCATATGCGCCTGTTTTTCTTTCCTAACTAATAACTTCACTAAAGATATCAATTAACACCAGAGAAAATGAAAAATCATACCTCACTTTTTTTAAACATGTATAATAATTTTTTGAACTAGCCGTTGGGACATTGTAAAAAATTACTAGGTATCACCGCAAACTTTTGAACTGTAGTTTATATATGTATGTTAACATATATATATATATATATATATATATATATATATATATATATATATATATATATATATATATATATATATACATGAATCATTCATACAAAAAAACAGATATAGAAGTTAATCATTTAAATGGCGAAAATACATCTTCGCAAACAAATTTAATGAAGTACACTAACCCCGAACCTGTAGATGAATGTTATGATCCCTGTTTATAAATTGCAGTTTCATAAGGTCTTTTTTGTTTTTTACAAGCTTTCGTCTGTTCATACAGACATCTTCAGGTATGGAAATAGATTTGTTTTTGTTTTTTTTTACTTCTCGGTAATAAGAGGACAACGAAAATATAGATGTAATCTGAAAAATGTTTTTAGAAATGTGCTACTGCCAACTGCAAGAAAATTTTTTGGGAGCGTGCGGTCACAACGCTGAAGTTTAATTTTTAAATTTAAGATTTTTTTTTTGTACTAATATGGCAATAGGAGAATTATTTTGTACTGGTAGGTTTTTCAGTCAATATGGCATGAACTCAATTGTTCAATAAATACAGGAATGTCACAGTTATTATCCGAAAGTTGCACGTCGGATCAGTTATTTTATAAACAGGGATCATAACATTCATAGTGATTCATTTAAATCATTAACTTCTATATCTGTTTTTTGTATAATGATTCATGTAATGTAAATTGAACTGCACCACATACTTGATATATAATTATATATATATATATATGTGTGTGTGTGTGTGTGCGTGTATTTATGTATAATATGTTTAAGTATGTGAAATATATCAACTTACCAATGTTTGTTGTCGACTCATTTTTTCACAGGAAACATTAACTGAATAGATATTATGAAAGTGGAAATACTAGTACACCACCAAATGACTTCATTAAAGATATCGAGTGAGGCCAAATAATCATTTTTCCTCTCCAATCTTCAAATACGACAGAACTTTCTTTCCAACGTAATAATTTCACTAAAGATATCAATTAAGACCAAAGAAGCATTTGTATCTTCTCATCATCAAATGAGACAGAACTTTCTTTCCAACCTAATGTCTTCACTAAAGGTATCAGTTAAAAGCAAAAAAGCATATGTTTCTTCTAATCTAAAAATGCATCATGTTTTTCTCTCCCTAGCTTTTCGTTTTTTTCTTTTATTGATTTCACTCCAAACAAGGCAAGAAAGCCACTATGACATGAGAAGTTTCTGAATATAAAAGAATAAAAGAATAGTAAACATTAATAAGGAACAAGAACAATAAATGAACTAAGATGACAGAAGATTGACATTGTATTTAAATTTTTGAAGATCAAAGTTGAAAGGAAAGCAAGAAGTTTAAAGAGGGTTCCATAAGCGAAAAATGTGCGAAAATAAACTGTTAGCATAGAAATTACGTTTATATCTAGCCATTTTAAATGTAAAATGATGAGACCTCGCCGCAAATCTAGTACTGCGCTCAAATTCATAAATCTAGGCCCCATATGGAGGAAAGATTATCTGAACAATTAACATGAAAGTATTTATAGAAAAAAACACAAGAAAGCCACATTGCGACGATGGGAAGGTGACTGTGATCGGTATGCCTGGTCAGGACAAATAACATTGCTGTTTTTTCTGGGGATTTTATCAAGAATCTCTAAATATATAACAGCTTAATGGTTGTAATTCTATGTTACAATTTAGAATTAATGTACTCTTTGCTAACAGGCAAAGAAATTAGCATATTTAAGCAAAAATTAAGCAGCAAAGCAAACCGTAGAAGCATTTGCAAGAACAAAGTATCGATTTTACCGGATATAAATGCGTTGGTACAATATCCATGTGAACAAGTTCTTCCGAATTAAAACCGTCATGGTCATTCGTTTCCATTTCGTACATTTCCACAAGTGTTACTAATATGTCCCGCTGTACCTCCGAAGTGACATCAAGCGCTTTTGTTCTGGCCCACCGAGACATTTGAAGTTCATTCGAGATGACATTGCATTCTAAGAGTAACGACGATTGTGACTCGTTTCTAAGGTAGGAGAATTTCTTGTGTCTGGTTTGGGGTTCCATTAGAGGTGAGAGCAAAAGTACATGCACCTGGTAGGATGATGCAATCTGTTCAGTGAGATTCCACCAGTGATCTATGAAACATGGAATGTTGTACTCGTTAATAAGAAGTGATGAAAGATGATTGGCCCAGTCATAGCCGTCTGACTCGAAGACGAAAAGGATTCCATTCGTATCTACAAAAGAGAGAAAACAGAACAGTAAGAGCACAATGGTAGAACATTTCTTCGTAATGACAAAATAAAAGAAAGAAAGAAAGAAAGAAAGAAAGAAAGAAAGAAAGAAAGAAAGAAAGAAATGAACATAGATTTGAACAAACTGATTTAGATAGACAGTGTTATATAAGAATAAAATGTCGCGACCGATACTTGAGTTTGAACATAGATCGCTAGTGAGAAACCGCAGGCGATGCCATTGTTGAATTAAGTAGATCACGTGACCATAGAGGAAAAGTAAGTAGGAAGTGGCGTGACGTCTAATTGATCGTCATTCGTATTCTATCCTCTATTACTATACGGACCGCTATTCTCTACTCGCTTCACTATATTATTTCTCTATTCGGATCACTATAGGGATTACATATAGAAGATACGAAGGGATCTTCAAAAGGGATTATTCGCATTAAAAGGATGAGAAGAAAGGTCGTTTATTATTATTCCTAGTCTATCCTCTATTACTATTATCTACTCTATTCACTATACTATGTCCCTATTCAGATCTCTATGCGGATTACTATTCGAGCGAGTATTATCGTCACTTCTATTCTATTCCCTATTAATATACGGACCACTATTCTTTACTCTATTCACTATACTATGTCTCTATTTAGATCTCTATACGGATTACTATTCGAGCGAGTATTATCGTCATTTCTATTCTATCCCCTATTAATATACGGACCACTATTCTTTACTCTATTCACTATACTATGTCTCTATTCAGATCTCTATACGGATTACTATTTGACCGAGTATTATCGTCACTTCTATACTACCCACTATTAATATACGGACCACTATTCTTTACTCTATTCACTATACTATGTCCCTATTCAGATCTCTATACGGATTACTATTCGACCGAGTATTATCGAGCAAGTACTTTAAGTGCGAGTGATATTCGAAAGCATCAGACACCAGCATTGTTCAACGGCATTACTCTAGTTGTATCTGAGATTACAAAGTCTGTACGACAACGAGCATTACAAAAGTCACAACGAGTATTCGCTGACATTACAAAATGTCAACCGAGTGCTTGTTGACATCTGAAACTTTTGTGGCTTTCTTTCAGCGAATATCTGATATATTTTTGTTTTCTCCTTTGTAAAATGCATATTCTTTCGATGTTTAATTTCATAACTTATTTTTGTCGAAGTGTAATTGATATCACATAACTCTGTGGCTTATATTCAGGGAATATCAAATATATTGTAGTCTTAAGTTTAAGAAAATGCATATAAATTCGATGCTTAATTTTACTGAATATTGCTTTCTTTTCGAAGAGAAAGCGATGTCACATATTTTTCTGGCTTACTTTCAAGGATTATCGCATGTATTTTAGTCTTAGCTTTAGTAAAATGCTTAGTATTATAGAATATTTTTTTATATATTTTAGTCTCAGCTTTAGGAAAATTCTTAATAAAATTTAGTCTTAAGTTCAGGAAATAGTTATTTTTCATTGCAGTGTCATTGATATCACAACATTTGTCTTTTGTCAAGGGTTTACTGCATATAAATTAGTCTTACCTTCAAAAAATGCATTGTAGTTCGATGTTTAACTTTATAGAATTGCTCTATTTTATCGAAATATAACTGATATCTCATAACTTTGTGGCTTACTTTCTGGGAATATGGCAAATATATTTTCGTTCTACCTTTATGAAAATGGATAGTATTTGGATGTTTAATTTTATAGAATATCTATTTTGTCGAAGTGTAATTAATTCAGCCTAATTACAAAGTCTCTACTACAACAAGTATTACGAAAGTGACGAGTATTCGTTGACAGCACATAAGTGGCAACAAGGATTCACTAGAATTGCTTCGGCTTACACGAAGATTCGTTCGGCAAAGTACAGCAAAATGGAAGAACTAAAAGCTATCCTGGTTCAAATGTTGGCACTACAGAAGCAACAAGAACAACATCTGAAGCAACAAAAACGACAACACGAACAGCAATTACAATTGCAACTACAACAAAAGTTTCTTCTGTTGGAAGAAAAACTTCAGATTCATTCATTCCAGATGTTGTTGCTAATTCAATCAGTGAATTTGTGTACAATCCAGATGAAGGGATAACTTTTCCAGCTTATTTTAGAAGATACGAATGGATCTTCAAAATGGATTATTCGCATTTGAATGAAACATGAAAATTATGTGTATTATATTTTGCCGAAAAATCCAGGTGAGATAAATTTTGATGAAACTATTCTAATTCTATTAATAGTTTTTGGTGATAGTTTTGGTCATTCTTTAATACACTATGGCAATGTCTTAACTTCGTAAAGTCTGAAGATGAAGATTTTGTCACTTATGCAGATGTCGGGAATCTTACTTATTATAAAACGCAGATTGTGTGTGTGTGTCTGTACGTTTATATATTGGATCGGATTTCCTACATTTTTCAACTGATTTCAACAAAACTTCACAGGACTACGTAAAATTACCCTGCGGTGGTTCTGACAGCGCCAAAAATTGGAAAAAAACAATTGTTTTTGCACGAAATCAATTTGTAAACACGATTAAGAAGCATTAATGAAAGGGGGACCACTATTCTTTATCTATTCACTATACTATGTCTCTATTCAGATCAATATACGGGTTACTTGTCAAACGAGTATTATTGAACAAGTGTTCGTTGACAATCACAAAAGTGGCGACAAAAATTCGCAAAGATTCACAAGGATTGCTTGGACTTACACGAGGATTCGTTCCGCAGAATACGGCAAAATCAAGAACTAAAATCTATCATAGTTCAAATGTTGGCGCTACAGAAGCAACATGAACAAATGTTGCAGCAACAAAAATTACAACAATTGCAGCAACAAAACAATTGCACAAACAGTAATTATAATTACAACTACAGCAGCAGAAGTTTTTTGAGTTGTTTACCAAAACCATGGAAGGAAAAAATTCAGATTCTTTCACTCCAAATGCTGTTGCTAATTCAATCAGCGAATTTGTGTACAATACAGAGGAAGGGATAACTTTTCCAGCTTATTTTAGAAGATACGAATGGATCTTCAAAATGGATTATTCGCATTTGAATGAAACATGAAAATTATGTGTATTATATTTTGCCGAAAAATCCAGGTGAGATAAATTTTGATGAAACTGTTCTTATTCTATCAAAAGGTTTTGGTGATAGTTTTGTTCATTATTTAATACACTATGGCAATGTCTTAACTTCGTAAAGTCTGAAGATGAAAGATTTTGTCACTCATGCAAGAGTCGTGAATCGAGAATGTGAAAAGTTCAAGCTAAAGGAATTAACTCCGTATTTACTTAAGTGCCTAATATTTGTACAGGGATTAACTTCTAAGGACGCGGAGATAAGATCCAGCATACTTGATAAATTAGAAAGATTATACGTTGACATCACAAAAGTAGCAACGAGTGTTTGTTGACATCACAAAAGATAGATAGAAACTGCCATAAATTTTAGCTTCGAGCCGATTTAGTTTCTTCAGGTGTTTCAAATGATTCGAGGTCAAGTCAATACATGGATTCCTACTGAAGTGTTTTTTTTTTTTTTGTTTTTTGTTTTTTTTGACATCCGATGTCCCTAAATAAAAACAAAATTGTTGGCTGGGTTTGATATTAACAACGAAAATAACATGGGCATAAAAGGAATAATGATCATTTGTCTAGAATTAAGTACTCAAGAATTTTACATTAACTTTGTCTATCTATCATCTTCATTTCCTATTAACACGCCCGCTCTTTATTGTCATTGTTTCTAGCTGTAAGATTTAAGTCAAGCATTATCAAATCTCCTATATATATATATATATATATATATATATATATATATAGTGATAGATAGATAGATAGATAGATAGATAGATAGATAGATAGATAGATAGATTTTCATTTTTCAAAGATTTCCAATTTTATAAAAAGAGTTAAAATAAAATAAGTTTTCCACCAAATCAACCTTTGATCTTTCCTATTAATAATGACACAGAAATTACGACGATAAAATGTTGTCCCTATTATGTTTTTGGCATTTTTTTCATGTAGTCTTTCTTGGGAATGGTAATGGCAATATTAGCCGTTTCCCTACAAGGAAATATTTGACATTCATTGATCGAGTAGCTAGGTACTATTTTATGTTGAAATTTATCAAATCTTTCTCTTAAATCAGGTTTCTCAAGTCCAGTAGGTGTTATCGCCCTTTCCAGTATTGATGGGAGTTTCCTTCCTAACCTTTTATTTAAGTAGTGTGTAAGGTTAACATCTTGATTATGATATTATTTTCGCTTTGATTTGCGTTTGCTATTCTTTTCAGATGTGGTGTCTGTTATGTAGAACAGTTCTTTATTTGTGATTCTGTAAAGACAATCCACAATGGTCAAAATATTTTTAATATTGATCCAAGGAAGCTTGCTCTATAAAGCTAACAGTTTAAATATTTCTGAACAGGTTCTGCACCATAACGATCTGACGAGGTTATTAACGGACATGACTAGAGTTTTCAGGTTGTTGTTTTAGTTTTGTAGCAATTGGTGGTGATGGGTGAAACTAACTCTGACAAAACCCATTCTACGTTCAGTTTCTTTCTCTCCTATACTTAATTTGTTATAGATGATCCATACATTGAGGTGTTTGAATTGTTTAGTAGTTACTAATTCCACATCCCGAATTTTATGCTTGATTCAGGGTGCCATCAAAGCTTCTATTCCAACTCAAGGTTATAGTTTGGAAAGGTTTATCGAGTCCCATTTCTTGAAACACTTGATAGACGATGTTGATTTTCTGTTCAAGATCATTTTATACCAACTATGAACACCTATGTCATCAGCATAGACTCCACACCACCACCACCACCACAACCATCTCATTACCGTGAGGGAAATCAGGATCGTTATCTTCTATTGGTAGATTCGTTTGGAATGCAGTATGAAGTGTTAAAATGATCAGTGCCCATCTCATCACATCTGTGTTTATAAATGCATAAAGGGCATAGTCTAGGAAGAGATTAAATAGACTAAGACCCTCATTTCCTCCTTGTTGTCCTCCTGATGAAGTTCTGAAATGTTTCCGCATTGGGGTCCTCGACAAAACTGTAAGATTCTGTCGATCGATATATTCAGTGGACTCAAAACATGGAAGACGGTTTCTAATGGATGCGAAGAGAGAGTTTCAATTGATGTGGTCATAGGCTGCTGTGAGGTCGACAAAGCAGGCAAACTCCTTTTAGAACATTATTAAAAGGTTTATATTTTATTTTAAAATCATTACCCCCTTTATATTATATATTAATATTATAAACTTTACATTTTATTTAAACATTATGGCAGCGTTTATACTTTATTTTAAAATCATTATCCCTTTATATTATATATAAACTTTATTACAAGGTTTAAATTTTATTTAAACATTATTACAACTTTTATATTTTATTAGAGAGGAGATTCGATAATGCTTGACTTAAATCTTACAGCTAGAAACTATGACAATAAAGAGCAAGCGTGTTAATAGGAAGTGAAAATGATAGAAAGACAAAGTTAATGTAAACTTCTTGAGTACTTAATTCTAGATAAATGATCATCATTCCTTTTATGCCCATGTTACTTTCGTTGAAAATATCAAACCCAGCCAACATTTTGTTTTTATTTAGGGATATCAGCTGTCAACAAAAAAGAAAAAAAAAACAGCAGTAGGAATCCATATATTTGACTTGACCTCGAATCATTTGAAATATCTGAAGAAACTAAATCGGCTCGAAGTTAAATAGGTTGAGAAATGACGACACCAGACAGATATTTACAGTATGCTCGTAGTAATATATATGCTTTACTTTAATTCGACAAAGGACAGATAAATACAAGTCATTCTAGGTAATATACATTGCATCATTGGGCTCCTCGGCGTGGTGTAAAGATTAGCAAGATTGTCTTGCTAGAACAATTACGACTGAGTAGTGAGTTCGATCCTCACTGGGTTCCCCATACTTTCGGTCATGTGCCACAAGTAGGCCTCGCTTAGAAAAAGGGCACCTCAAAGCGGAGTAATGGTTAGCAAGCTTGTCTTGCTAGAACAATTACGACTGAGAAGTGAGTTCTATCATCACTTGGTGCCCCATACTTTCGGCCTTGTGCCATATCTAAATTACGCTTAGAAAATCAATTGGGCAACCCATCCCGAAATTAGGTTAGTGTAGGTTTTGTTTTTGAATCTTTAGTTTTTTTCCTTTTTTCCCAGTAAACTTAGCTTGAGTGTGTCTGCTCATTGGCCCCTTTTATTTCTGTCCCTATTTTTTTCTTTAGTTTAATTCCCCATCCTCTCCATTCGTTAGGTGATTAGTGATGTCAGTTCTCTGGTGGATGCGGGGCGATATTCGTTTTTTTTTTTTTTTTTCGCCTGTATGTGTTTTTCGTTTTCTGTTGTCGTGCATGTCTGTGTGAGTGCTAGGGATGGATGATTTTTTTTTTATATTTTGTAGGCCCGCATTGATTTCGTCCAGTGAACTGATGCTTCTGCCGCATTTAAGTATTGTGGAGAGTTTTATTACTAACAATGATTTTGTTTAGTTTCTTGTAAATAGATTAATTCATGTTGTATATACTCATTGGGGATCTTTTTAATTTGTTGTTTTATCCCCCACCACCACATATGACGATTTGTACAAATGGGGAGTATTTAGGATTTTCATTGAGACAATTAGGTATTATAGTGGATATAGTAAGAAAGGCTAGTAATAATGTGTTGTTTTGGTGTTAGGAATATTGTCTCTATGCTTGGGTCAGTGCTTCTGGCTAGCTAAGTTTAAAATTAAGACAGATGAAGACCGTCCTTTTTCCTATCCATTTTCTTTTAGGCCTTGTGCCACATTTCTGTAATTTTACAGAAATGAATATTGTAATGGTTAGCAAGTTTGTCTCGCTAGAACAATTACGACTGGGTAGTGAGTTCGATTCTCACTGGGTGCCCCCCGCCTAATTTCGGTCTTGGGCCACATCTAAGCTACGCTTTGAAAATCACATTATTGCATCAGTTTTCACAAAAGAAAGAATGAATTTCTACCTTTAAAATCAGTATACAAGATGCACTTTGACTTGCATCGAAAAAGATAGATAGATAGATAGATAGATAGATAGATAGATAGATAGATAGATAGATAGATATTAATACACTGAAATGAAGATTATTTGTACCGGGTTTAACTTCTCATAAGAACGCGGAGATAAGATCCAGGATACTTAATAAATTAGAAAGATTATACGTTGACATTACAAAAGTGGCAACGAGTGTTTGTTGACATCACAAAAGATAGATAGATAGATAGATAGATAGATAGATAGATAGATAGATAGAAACTGCCATAAATAGATAATGAAAAGGTTGATAGATAGATAGATAGATAGATACTGCCATAAATAGATAATGAAAAGGTTGATAGATAGATAGATAGATAGATAGATAGATAGATAGATAGATAGATAGATAGATAAGTAATTTTCAGATACATAGATATGTTTATAATTCTCGAATACCCACACTTCATGATGTTCGCCTTTGTAGGTGACGTTGTTAAGGGTTAGTTTTTGTTTTTAATGATCGCTGCTTCTATTATTATTACAAGATAGATCTGTCATTTTCAGATAATTAAACATATTTATAATTCTCGAATGCCCATAATATATGATGGTCATCTTTGTAGCTGATGTTGTTAAGGGTTAGTTTTTGTTTTTGATATACATGTTTATTACACTTTTTGGCTTGCACAAGTATTTTAAGTATCGAAGATGGTATGCTTTCCTTCTAATTTTAATAGTTCCTTCGAAAAATAAATATATGTCTATATTCCAACAACCGGCACACTTTACACAACAGTTAATAAATTGTCCGAATGTGCTCGCAATGAAAAATCCTTTTGTTGAACTTTTACATATACGACATCCAAAAAGAAATAACTTGTCCGTTCACAAGAAGAAGAATTTAGCAAAAGTATTTTGTTAAACGTATTTAATTAAACGTGTTATTGAGAGAATGCTCAGAAAATTCACAACTCTCTCTCTCTCTCTCTCTCTCTCTCTCTCTGTATATATATATGCGCGCGCGCGTGTGTGTGTGTGTGAGTGAGTGAGTGAGAGAGACAGAGAACTAGTGTGATTGAGAGACAGAAAGATAGAATACTTAACCAAAAACTTAAAACTTTATTACAACGTTTATATTTTATCAGATTTTCTTTTTTTTTATATTATGGCCGATTGTGAACAAAGAAAGTATATATATATATATATATATATATATATATATAACATCTTGATACATAGGGTAAATAAACCTAGAAACCTACTATCAGTCTTCGGGATATGATAACGTATATTCTACTTATGTATTATATAAAATATGTCTCCGTGTAAGACAAAGTGTATGTGTGTGTGTGTGTGTGTATATATATATATATATATATATATATATATGCGTGTATGTATAAACATGTATGTACAAATTTTAAAGGGTATTAAATATATCAACTGATACTTACCATTGCTTGTGGCCATTGTTGGTTAGTTTGTTCAAATGCATATGTGTTACTACTTCAGAAGGCAGGAGATATTTAGACTGTGACGTCGAGGAAGTACTTACTGTTACAAGTGGAAATACCCGCCAAGAAAAATAGATATAAGATTAGATATTACGAAAAGACTAAAGATTCACGGACTTGTTATATGAATCAGTTCAGTTATTAATTTTAAAAAAAAGGGGAAATTTAGCGACCAGTTGAATATAAAGTTTCAAATACAGTGTAACCCGGATATAAGACAAACCCTGATATAAGAGAGATTTTCTCTGGTCCCAAATTAGAGCCTGTGTTAATGTAAATAAAATAGACCAAACCCGGATATAAGAGAAACCTGGATATAAGAGACTTCTTCTCCGGTCCCGACAACTCTCTTATATCCGGGTTACACTGTACATGACTGCTGTAATGTTAATAGCGAAGGGTAATTTTGAAAGTAGGGCCTGCTGTTCATGATACAGTTAACTCGCCAAGACTGACCGTGGGTAGTGGGAACTTACTCTCTCCCCACTAGGATATTATTATTCTTTCTTTTTATGTGTCGTGTCCTTCAGGACGTACGCGATCATGGCTCTCCACTTCCTCCTATCTCTTGTAGCTCTCGATAAGTTTTGTCCCTTTGCTAAATCCCCCAGGCCATGTTCTGTCATCTACTTGCTTAAGCCCGTTAGGTATGTCACGCATTGCTTTCTATTGTTTCTCTTTACCTCTATTTGACCTGTGAGTATCAGATTCTCCAAGCCCTCCTTTCTCATTACGTGTCCCAGAAATTTCCGCTGCCTCTTCCTGATATTAAGTATAAGCTTCCTCCTTGTTTGCATACTCACCAAAACCTCATCGTTGCTCATGCGCCGGTTCACGAGATCCTTAGCATCCTTCTGTAGAACCATACCTCCGCTGCCTCGAGTCTCTTCTTCATCTTTGAGGAGACCGTCCAACATTCGCTGCCATATAGGAGGGCAGATAGCAGCTAAGTACACTTTTCTTTGTTACCAAAGAAATCCTATCTCGTAATAGAATATTATTGACCCACCCATATCTGTGAAAATGTTATTAACAAATTTTAATATGAGAAAAAGAGCTCCCCCGTCTTTTATACAACCGAATCGAAGCTGATTTCCAGTAATCGATCGCTGTATCAATTACTTTTTCGGTTAAAGCTTTTCAAAGTAATAATGGGATGCAAATGGTTATGGAATTTTCTGAGTCTTGTCAGTGCTTTAATAAAATTATTCACATCTTAGTAGCCAGTAGCTGTCAATGTGTTCTGATGATGACAAAATATCAAACATGGGAAATGGAATAATTTGTTGAGAATGGAAGATCTCGTCATCCACTCATACTTGGAATAATAATAACAACGAAGAGACCTCAAGGACACATGGCACAGTGGATAAAGGCGTTGGTTCGATCCAGTGACAGGACCAAAATAGTGTGAGTTCAATACCCGGTTAAGGCAGTGGAGAACTTTCAGAGGAGACTTAACAGGAGATAACTGACATCCATTAAACATGGCACGTGGAACTAGAACAGTCTACCCCAGGGAGCGAAATAAAGGGTTCAGTTAGACATTCCAACCACCTGAAGAAGGCCGGAGCTTAAAGCTGCGGAAAAGTTGTAATAATTATAGCGACAAATCTGAGGACAATAGTCCGAATAATGTAAACAGTGTACATAATACCTCATCTCAGACAGATACTGAAGAAATCTCTTGCTGCCAAATTTGGTTTTGATTCTGAGTTCAAGCTTTGGTTTCTCTATTCCAAGAATGATAATATCCTTCTTCACCTCGAAGATTCTTGTTGCAAAATGTCGGTAAAGTAGAAAGGAAAATCAGCTAATATACTTTTTTTTCTTAATTATAAACATTTCTTCATATCAACACGTTACATATCTACGTTGGGGCTGAATGAATATATAAAATAAATGTTATAATTTATCAGGTCATCCCATGAGTTCTGTCCGAATTTTAACTTTTTGTTAAAATGAACGAAATTTAAAGAGTATTTTATAATGTCTAATTGAGCTGAACATTATTTTTATGTTTAGATGCATTTAAACTGATCAAATTTTATTTCAGAGAACAATAAAATCAAATTTTGTTTGATTAAAACCCTGCTAACATGGAAGTACCCAAGAATCATTTGAGGCACATAATGCTTTATGAGCTCAAGAAAGGAAACTCAGCAGCCGAAGCGCCTAGAAACATTTACTCAGTTTATGGAGAGGAATGTGTGAATGAAAGAACTTGCAGAAGATGGTTTGCAAAATTCAGAGGTGGAGATTTCACCCTTGAAGATGAGAGATCGAACCGGACGTCCAGTTGAGTGTGATGAAAAGCTTCTTGAAGCAGCCCTTGAAATCCTGCTTTATCAGTTGAGGAATTGGCAGTGGTTCTCAGTTCAAACCATGCAACTGTTCATCGTCATCTTCAACAACTTGGAAAAGTTCCTAAACTTGGAAAATGGGTGCCTCATGAATTGTCTGAAAACAACCTCAAATCCTGAGTTGACATCTGCTCTTCTCTCCATTCTCGCCAACTTGTTTCATCTTTTTTGCATAGACTTGTGACTGGTGACGAAAAATGGATCTTTTATCGAAATGTTAAGCGTCGTAGACAGTGACTTAGTAAAGGGGAAGGACCCCAGCCACAGCCGAGAAGGGAACTTCATGGGCAAAAGGTTCTTCTTTCAATCTGTTGGGATCGCCAAGGAATAATCCACTTTGAATTCTTACCACCTAATGCAACAATTAATGCTCAAATATACTGTCAGCAATTAGAGCGTTTGAACCAAGCTTTGAGGAAAAAAAACCTGCTCTAGTGAATCGAAAAGAGGTGATGTTTCATCAGGACAATGCGCGACCCCACACAGCAAGAATCACGTCACAAAAGATCGAAGAACTTGGTTGGGAGAAAATTCCTCATCTACCTTATTCTCCCGATCTTGCTCCTTCAGACTACCATTTGTTTCGTAGCTTACAGAATCATTTGGAAGAAACAGCTTTTGTAACACAGGAAGAGGTTAAAACTGACATTTGTGAGTTCTTCGAATCAAAGCCAAAAGAATTTTACAGTAATGAAATTAGTAAGCTTGTTAATAGATGGAAGGAAGTCATAGATATTCAGGGAAAATACATTGCTGATTGAATCTACTTAAATGTAACATTTGGTCACTTGTTTTCTTTATTCAAAATTCGGACAGAACTTATGGGATGACCTGATATTTTAGAGGCCTCAAAGAATGCATTTTTAAAAATGTAAAATTTTCTTGAAACTTTTATTTTAGCTTTAATTCCGGAAACGCTGGTTCGAGCTCTACCAGTCTCACCGATCTCGCGCAGAGCCGAACTGCACCCTGTCCCTCCCTGGCACTGGAGGAGCGATACAGCAGGCTGTTCCACTTGCAGAATTCGGATTGCAATCTGATGGTTTGCAGGAGAGTCGCCATATACTAATGGTCGACGCTGTCGAATGCCTTGGACTGATCCAAATTCATCAACGCGGCTTCATCGTCGTCTTCTACAGCCTCTAGGATCGTCCCGATCAGAAGCAGGTTGCTCTGAATTGTCCGGTTCTTCATCGCTCAAGTCTGCTCCGCTCCTAACAGAATCTCGGCAATTGACTGCAAACATTCCGTCAGGATTTTGGACAAAATCTTTAACTTTGTTTTTAGTAGAATTGTAGGCCTATAGTCGTCTAAATCCCACCCCGAACATGCTTATCCTTTCTGGACAGTGTGATCACGCTCCTGACGATTCGGTTGGGAACTGTCTGAAGCATTTGTTGAATACGACTCTCAAAATCGGAACAAACATTTGCTACAGCCTCAAGTAAAATTCGTAGAGCATACCATCAAGTCTCGGAGAATTGTCACTGCCAACCCTTTTCAATACCTAGAGGACTTCACCCTCTATGATCACCCCGTCGCAACCAGCAACTGCAGTCAACGAGAGTTGAGGTAAGTTGGCAAAATAAC